ATGGAGTTGGGTGGTCCTTGGACTTCCCACAGGGCAGGGAACCCTGATTGCTCTTTGGGGGGAGGAGGAGGGAAAGGGGAGGCGGCGGTGGGGAAGAGACAGAAATCTTAAATAAATAAATAAATAAATAAATAGAAAAAGTCAAAAAAAAAAAGAGAAATCATTGTTTCTATAAGACACTTGTCTCATTGTGATGATTTCTGGAAAAAATAGCTGGGAAATTCTGCTCCGACTTGCTAAACAGAACTCTGCTCTAAGTTGGCTTCTCTGATTCCTTCCGCTGCTCTTTGTTTCGCCGCTAATGCTCTTTCCCACCATCTAGACAGATGTATTAGCTGTTTGGTGTCTTTGTTTGTTTTGCTGTCTATATGCTATGTATATGATTATATATGTGTGTATACTCACTTGTGTACATGTGTGTGGAGGTCAGATGTCCACATTGGCTGTCTTCCTCAGCTGTTGTTGTTGCTGTTATTATTACTGTTAGTATTATCACTAGTACTAATAATATATTTTATTTGATACTTGCAGTTCACTAATTCCAGACTAGCTGGTCAACAAACCTTAGTGGCTCTGCTGTTTCCATCTCCTCAGAGCTGGTATCACAGGTACACACTAGTACTCAGAGCTGGTATCACGGGCACACACTAGTACTCAGAGCCAGTATCACGGGCACACACTAGTACTCAGAGCTGGTATCACGGGCACACACTAGTACTCAGAGCTGGTATCACGGGCACACACTAGTACTCAGAGCTGGTATCACGGGCACACACTAGTACTCAGAACTGGTATTACGGGCACACACTAGTACTCAGAGCTGGTATTATACAGGCACACACTAGTACTCAGAACTGGTATTACGGGCACACACTAGTACTCAGCTTTTTACACAATTAAGAATCAGAACAAGTCTTCATGATGTGTGGCAAAGACCTTACTGACTGAACCTCCCTGCTCCCTGCTTTTAGTTTTGAAATCTTCTATGGATATTTTTCCTCTAAAGATCTCTTGCCATTCATATCTCTAATGGCAAAAAGACTTTTAGTTGATTCCCCGCCAACACCCTGGTTCACATGTCTGGTGTGATGGACGGCTCAACTTTAATTTGCTTTAATCTGCACAGCTTGGCACCCTCACTTGGGTTTACAATCACTGTCTGTAGACAGGGCCCATTCTGGAAAGGAATATAGTACTGTAGACCCATCAACCTAAGCACACTGCACAGGGAGACGTGCGTCCCGTGCATCTACAGGATGACTCTGCATTCCAGAAGACCCTACAGCAGGTGTTCTTACTTTAGGAAAAGTAAGACTTAGAGGCGTTCATAGAGCATTCTGTATGAAGGACATTTGAGAGGAAGACCCATAGAAGGTTTGTGGGCAGATCAAAGGGAACCTGAGACCTTTGGACAGGTGGCCTGATATGGGAAAGGAAGAGAGCAGACAAGAAAACACTTTGCTTTTCTGAGTTTTCAAAGGCATCTTTCTCCACAGTGCCTAGCACCTCCCCCATGATCCGATGGGAAGAACCAGGGGCTGTCCTCCCAGCCTGTAAGAACCCTCCACTGAACTGTTCGGAAGAGAGGCACTTCCACCCTGTTGGTTATTAAGTCTTCACGTGAACAGCAGGCTAGACAGCATGGGCACCCATGGCACCATGACAAACAGGTCGTGGTTACGATCCAGTTCCTTGGAAAGCCCATGGGTCTTGCAGAAGAGGCATTTTTCTGAAATTCAAACTGCCTAGGCACTTCTGGTACTAGTTTCTGGTATTTTGGAGGGAAATACACTTAATGTCTCTTTGCCTCAGTTTCCTCAATGGTAACATGAGATTTGAGCAGATGATTGTTAAATCCCTCCCAGCACTAAATTCTATACCTCTAAATGCTGGTGTCCAATGCCTTCGTCATCTACCAAATAGTTCCATGACTTCAGGCAGGTCTTTTAACCCTCTGGGCTGCCATTTAACCTCAGGAGTTTTAGGATATTGCGGTGGATTTAGCTCCAGCACCCAGCCTGGGGATAAAGCGCCAGCACTAATCTGTTAGCTGTGCTGCATACGTCGTACCCATGGGCTCGTCTAATGCCATCTGCGGCATTTGGGGGTCAGGATAAACGAGAAGCACTTGGCTGTCTCTAGGAGGAAGCTCCTGTGATAAAGATCTCTTGGTAATTAGTCAGCAGGACTGTTTTTTTTTTTTTCCCCAACTCAAATACTTTTCTGAGGAAGACTCGGTGTTTAAGGGTTTGGGGACTGAGAAGAGTGGTTCAGGGTTTCTTGGGGAAGAGGGAGCTTCCTGTTATCTGACCACTGGAGGTTTCGGAGAATCATTACATCTGACCTAGATGCACATAGCAGAGACAATAAGGGTCTAAGAGTGATTGAGATGCTTGAAAATGAAAATTACCCCTGTCCTTTCATTACGCTGTCTGCTCCAGCTGCAGCAGACTGGGTAAGAAGCGATGTCGATGGGGATTCCTGACAGCTGTAATTGTGGCTCTCCACTTGCATTCTAAACGGCTGGTGATCTAGTTAGCGGGTCTTTCCATTTATTTAAAAATAAAAGTCACTCGTCAATGAAAATAACTTGTATTTGTTTTATTTAAAGACATTCGTTTCTTCTAATAAGAATAGATAAAAGCAAGATGAAGCCTTTTTACGAGGTATAGAATAAATGATAAGGGTGGCCGCTTTAGCAGCAATGACTTTCGTTACCGAGTCTTTATTAAATGTGTCTAATACATAACGCAGGAAAATATGCAGAACTTAAAAACCAATAGTATTATTATATCCTGTCAAAAAATACTTAAAATCATAGATTTTTTGAGACATTTATCTAATAGTATTTATAGTTCAGCTGGATTCAGTGTCTTAGTCCAGATGCCCAGAAATACCATGTGGAGTTAGTCTATGGGAAAAAGGTTGTATCTAATTTTATGTATTAATATTTCCTAATGTAAATAATTTAAAAAACTTCCCATTTTGGTAATACTATAATAAATAAGTAAATAAAACGAAGCGAGATTGATTGTACAAAGATAATGGGGATGGCAGTAAGATACGGGAGTAGAACTAGCCTAGGCGGACATGATGGCATTTGCTGGAATTCTCGGGCTTCTGTGAAATGCTGTGACCCCAGGATTCAGCAGAAGGGACACAAAGAAACAAGAGGACGACCAAGCTAGCATGGTGGGGATGAGAAAACTCACATTCAACTTGATTTGATGGGTGAGACATAGCAGAGTCATTTTTAAATGAACAACAGCAAATCTCAAAGAAAAAGTAACACATGGCTGAAGCCAAACGCTTCTGTTACCTTACCTCATTCCTTTCTTCATCGAACAGTGTCTGCTCACTCCTCGGGGGCTCCTTTAGTAGGTCGATGCCATTGTCGTGGAAAACTTCCAAATTTGGGTTCATCTTTGGAACATCTCGCTGCTTTGGAACATCGCCCTGCTGTACAAAGCAGGTTTAGTGAGAGCTCGAGCCAGGAGCACTGAAGAAACAATCCCATATGCTAACCACTTGGAAAAAAAACGCTACAAGCCAATGGCAGCCTTTCAACAAATGTATTCCACAGGAGACCAATGTTCTCCCTCCAAGCTTATAGCTCTCATCTTGCCTTGCTCCTTTGGTAAAGCTCATTGCCAGCAAAGCCAACTGTTCAAAGGCCTTCTGGAGAATGAAGTGACAGCTACCGTAGGATGCTGCTGCAGGAACACTCTCTGGAGAAGGGAATGCTGTGTAGGACAATTTAAGCCATGAGGAGGCCGAAGAGCATCAGTGAGGAAGAAATGATGAGGTCTCCAGAGGAGAAGGAAGTAAGGGAGCCAGAGAATCCACACAAGCAAACTGGGAGACTTGAAAAGAGGAAGAAAACACAGTTGGGAACACAGGCTGTCTCCTGTGACTGTCCCTTGTTCCTGTGTTTCATGGGGCTCAGCCTCAGCCACAGAGGGAGTGGGAGTTTACAAACTGGCAGGGAGGCAGCATGAGAGCCAAGATTTGGGATGAGGAATGGAGGCACAGGTGCCCCAAGTGACAAAACACACAGTTTTAAAACGATGTTTATATTATAGTAGGAAATTGTTGTACACGGATCATGGTATTAGATGGTTATGGAAACAGGCATAATCCCCAAAGTGCTCATTACACTTGCTCAGAGAATTTGGGGAGATCCTATTGGGGAAATTCAGCTTTGAATCTCAACTCTAAAATAAAACCAGTTTGTACAACTGAGTGAGCCTCTTGGCACTAATACACACTTGGAATCTAAACCACAATGACAGCTGTTGTGGAAAGAATTCTAGATGTCAAATTAGATGTAACTTCAAATTCCAGGATGATTACTGTGACTCTGGAGACCCAGAGACAGCACCTTTCGCCTCTTTGCACCCTTATCTTCCTTCTGGAACAAGGCAAGTACCACCTACAATGGTGTATTCTTTACTCCCAGGACTGGGGAAGCAGAGATACCGGGATCTCTGGGAGTTTGAGGTCAGCTTAGTCTACATAGCGAGTTCTAAGGCAGCCAAGGGTTACAGAGAGAGACTTTGTCTTATGAACAAACAAACAAGCAAAACATCTAACAAACAATGGAGATCTTCTCTCGATCTCACGGCTACTTGGAAACACTGGAGATTGTCTGTACCTAAGCCTTTGTTAAGTGTCAAATTGTGTTACAAATAGATTCCATTTTTATCACTAGTCTAGCCTTTTGAGGAGTTTGTGCATCCTCTTTTTAATAGCTCCCATGTAAGAAGGGGTGGGGTCCTCAGGAATGGATTAGTGAACTTGCAAAAGAGAGCTGAGAGACCCTTTGATGTCACACCTCTATAGGTTTGGAGCGAGGTGACCATGAGGAAGCAGGATTTCCCAAGGTGTCAAACCACCATTGCTTAGATTTCAGATTTACTAGTTTCTGGAACTGCGATAAACAGATGTGTGCGTGTGTGTGTGTGTGTGTGTGTGTGTGTGTGTGTGTTTAATTTAAGCACTAAGTGTTACAGGAGAGCAGCAAGGGAGGAATAAGGAAGATTTATGTGAAGAAAGGGATCTTTCCATTTACACTTGGGTGTTGATAAGATTTTGATAAATAAGAAATCATGTGTTTAAAGTAAAGGTCTAGAAGCTGAAATCACTAAGGGATGTGAGATAGGAACCCACCATGAATGGAGGAACACAGCAATGTAGAAGGTGATGGGTCTCAGAGCCAGGGACAGGTCTCCTGGTGAAGGGTTTTCAATATGAAAGAACATGAACACAGCCATATTTAGGAAGTGGAATCAAACCCTGTATAGGATCAAGGGATCTGAATGACAGATTGAGAATGTAAAAGAGAGTAAAATCCTAACCAAAGGGAGTCCCTAAGTCATGGGGAATAAGAAAGTGGGGGGCAGACTACAGAAGCCCCTCCTCGGAGAACAGAGCTGTGGAAGGAAAGATGGGGGGGGGGATATCATTTGGAAAGACAAGGTTTCATCAAGCTGAAGATGTACAATATAAAGGAGGGCACTGGAGATGATGCCAAGCAGAGTCAGAGGAAGGGGTTTGCCCGCCTGTACGTGTGAGCAAAGGAGAAGAGTGAAGGAGAGGCAGTGCTAACAACGACAATGTAAGCTATATGGCTCACTCATACCTGACAAGTAGCTTCACAGCTGTAAAAATAATTACAGAAGGTCAACTGGCTTATATATTAGAAACATTAATACTTTTAAATTCATTTTGTCAAATCTACTTTGAAGAATTTATGTGTAAATAATACCAAATATTACCAAAGAATGAAAAACCCAAGGATGTTTACTGTAGTGTGTTGTAAAATGATGGAAAGAAAATAAGTTGAAAAACCTAAATGTTTAAAAGAAGGATAATGACAACTTGGTTGTGTAATGACTGAATTAAAGTTCCTTGACATTGTCTAAATTGAATAAACACTCAAATTTATGACATGAAAAAAATCATAAAAATATTTGCCATGAAATAGATATAATTCTACCTAAACTGCAAGTTCACAACAGTAATGACTAACACAGTTGGGTACCTTCACAGCCAAGCCCTGGACCTCTGCAGCATCCATTTAGGAGATTAAACCATTTGCCCAATTTGTGACCCAAGGGTATTCCAAGGCATCTGAGTTCTGATCTAGAGCCTGTGTGAGCTCTTAATGACATAGCTATAGCGATTATCCCAAACCACTCTCAGTAAGTTATAAAAACAGCATTAACCACATTTTCAAAGCATGACAACATATCTTTCCTTTAGTTGGTTTTTGTCTACCATAGCGATCATAAGCATTTACCCTGTTTTTTTTACCTACCATTTCATTTTAATTCCATGAAGGTTATAACAGTTACCTTAATTTTTCCACAATGCTAAATGTTCAGTGTATATAATACCTAAATATTAGTGTTAATTTCTTTGGTGCCATAATCTAGAGGAAGAAAAACCATTCCATTTATTATTTATGAATATAAACATAAGACTCCTTAATACAAATGTGGCTTTGGTTTTAACGGCACACATTCATCCTCTAGGATATGATCCATGAAAATGTAAACGAGACACCTTAATTGTGTTTAGCCCTCATTCCCAGCAACATTTTTCTCTGCAGTGATGGGAAAGAAAGAGGATTAATTATCATAAACCCTCAGATAATTATGTCAGAATGCTAAGAAACAAATGTGTATGTCAAGCCTCCTGAGAATTCATATTAGAACATCTCTGCACCGGAAGAGAGTTGATTAACCCATTTCTATTTATATCACTTGATAATACATATTCTAGGAAGAAGAAATTACCTCCAGTTTTTCTTTAAGCTCCATGAGAGACCCACATAATTCAGTGATAGATTCGAGAATCTCCTTATGTCTTGTGACAGTTTTCTCGGCATATTTCTGCCCTTCTTCCAAACCTGGGAAGGAGCAAAGAAAAACCTACATGTAAAGGGAATTCTTAACAGGAAAAGAGAAAGAACTAGATGTTAATTTATCTTCCAAGTGTCTTTTGTAAGCACTGGTAGACAGTAAACTCCTAACATATACTAAACAGAATAATCAATGAATGCAGGTATGTTTTTAAAAGCAAAGTGTAATAGTTTAGATATATTTGGATACAGGGTAGTGGTTGGGAGGGATGAAGGGGTTGGACATGGTCTCATGTAACCCAGACTAGCCTTAAACTCACTACATAACCTCCACTTCCTATGTGCTGGGATCGTGGTTTGATTAGGAAATATCAGGGTAAGCCTTGCATATTGAAGGCTTGGTCCCTCAGAGCTACGTTCAGAGGTCGGACTTTTGGGGAGGATCATGAGACCTCTGACTTAATCAGTGGGTTAGTTTGTTAATGAGTTAATAATTGAATTGACTGTTGGGAGGAAGTGGGTCCTGTGGAAAATGGGGATGCTTAGAGAAAATGGGTTGCTTGGGGAATATGCCTTTGAAGGGATAAATTGTCCCCAGATGCTTCTCTGTGTGTTTTCTGGCTGTGAAGTGAGCAACCCTCTCCACTATACATTCTTGCTGCCATAATTATTCTGTTCAACCTAAACCCACAGAAGTGGAGAAGCACAGCGTAGGATGAAGCCTCTGAAACCCTGAGCCAGGTTTACTGTCACAGTGACGGAAAACTTGCTAGCCTAGGAGTTCTAAAATAAAGACTTCTTTTGCTGTGCCATTGTCTCCTCTATGGAACCCAGCTAACGTTCTTATATTACTGTTCTTAAGACTAGGATTTCTTATTCAAGATAGTCAGAAATTCTTCACCACTTAGAGAATATACATTTCTCAGAATGACATTCAAGGCCTGTCATCATCTGGTTTGACCCTGCCTATTCCAAATATATGTGATTTTAATCTGACATAATTCCAAGCCAATCTGAGCCAGTAAAACATTGAGCCATGCTAAAATATTCCCACATAAAACATAGAATGGGCCCCAATCTCATCTCATCCCACCATCTCATCCCAGTTTCTGAGTTAGAAAAATCAATTTGAAATAGATTAAAGAATGAAATTCAAGGCCTGGATTTTAAAATCAGTAGAAGAAAGCAAACAATGCCAAAGTGAGCGGGGATTTTCCCGGAAAGCTCCTGAAAGCACAGGAAACAAAAGCAAACATGGACACAGGGGAATGTGTCAGACAGAAGGGCCTCTGCAGAGTGAGCAATGGAACAAAGTGCAAGGGCACTTTACAGAATGAGGTAGAACATTTGCCTCTGGTTTACTTCTGATGGGGGCTTAGAATCCCAAGGAATTCAAGCAACTCTACAGGCATGTCCCTCCCCAACCAAAACCAACCTGAAAATCAGCAATAACTTGATATATAGAGATGCATACTTTACATTGGTATGGACTTTAGTCTATTGATACAAATTTAAGGTTGGCTGGGCGATGGTGGTGCACGCCTTTAATCCCAGCACTCGGGAGGCAGAGGCAGGCAGATCTCTGTGAGTTCAAGACCAGCCTGGTCTTCAGAGCTAGTGCCAGGACAGGCTCCAAAGCCACAGAGAAACCCTGTCTCGAAAAACCAAAAAAAAAAAAAAAAAAAAAAAAAAAACCAAATTTAAGGTTGATTTTGTTACACTGTGTATATGTGTTTCTACCCTTGTTTAAGGTATTATGTTTATACAGCTCATTTAAAAATTCAATGTAATTAAAAATTAAATATTAATAGTCATTTATAATAGTCAAAGTATAGTCTTGTTAGTTATGTCTTCTAGATATAAAGAGATATATTTCAGTTAAATAATCTTCAACACTTCAAAGACCTACAGAATATGGCATTTAAAATGTTTTAAGAACTTAGACTTGTCAACAGTGAGACACATCTGCTCCTGGCAGGACCAATTACTTCAAGAGAAAGATGGGCATCCAAGAGTCTCCTTATGGAGTTTGCTAGCCATTTGGGCAAGAAATTGCTCTTGCCTGGATTGCTTGATGGTATGCTGTATAAACTGGACATGCAAGACCCACAGAAATGACTGCTGAACTTGCTGAAAGGTGAGACCATCCTTCAGGGTTCCTGTTTCATGAAAGAGTCTACTAGACATTCTGCAGAACACAGAAGAAAGTGACTGACAAACTGCTAATATAGGCAAAATTATCTTTGAAATTTCTTGTTTTGTGGAAAAGTCTTCCAGATATTATGGGCCTGTAGGCTGAAGATGGATACCCCAACATTACAGAAGAACTTTGGGTGACTGTCCAGGCAGCCAGATATCTCTATCAATTTTAAAGTTTGGGAAGTTGTTTGCAGTGCACTTTCTGTCTAATTACATAATATTATCCCTCTGAGGTCTTTGAAGAATTTAAGATAGTTATAGTTACAGTTTTTTTTAGTTATGATAAATGATAAATTAGATATGAAACTTTCCAGATACAAATAGACTAAATATTGAAAGTATAATACTTGCTTGATACTCATTTTGTTATATGTAATTTCACTTTGTTAAAGTTAAAACCTTCCTTTTATTTAGACAGAATAGGGGAAATGATGTGGGATGTCCTTCTGTATATGTGTTACTCTTATTGATTAATGAATAAAGTTGCTTTAGCCTATGGCAGGGCAGAATATAGCCAGGCTGGAAGAAATATAGAGAGAGGGTAGACAGAGTCAAGGGGACGGCATGTAGTTGGAGGAGAAAGACTCTCTAATGCCAGAACCCTACCAGTAGGCCACAGCCTTGCAGTGATACATAGGTTAACAGAAATGGGTTAATTTAAGATGTATGAGCTAGCTAGGAATACATCTGAGACATCGGCCAAAACAGTGCTGTAATTAATATAGTTTCTTTGTGATTATTCAGGTCTGGGCAGCTGGAAAACTAACAAGTAGTCTCTCTTTACAATAGCTGGAAACAAATGTTTCTTAAAAGAGAATGTTCATTCTGGGCTTTAGATGTAACCCAGTGGTTGAGAGCTTGATAGGGTAAGTGAGGCCATTTTTTTTCATCTGCTGTTGTGATACAATACTGACCCAAAACATCTTGAGGATGGTTTATTTCAGCTTGTAGTTAACAGTTCAGCACTAAGGGAGACCAAGGCAGAATTTGGAGACAGGAAATAAATCAGAGACCATGGAAGGATGTTGGCAACATGTTTACTTGCTTAGCTTGCTTAGTTACCTGTCTCATACAGCTCTGGCTCCCCTACTCAGGAATGGTACTTCTGACAGAGAGCTTGGTTCTCTCACAGTAATCAACAATCAATGAAATGCCCTCACAGACATGCCGACAGGCCAATCTAATGGAGGCAATTACTACTGAGATTCTCTCTTGTCAAGTATGCTTAGGTTTGTGTCAAATTGACAAAAAAAAAAAAAAAAAAAAAAAAAAAAAAAAAAAAAAAAAAAAAAAAAAAAAAAAAAAAAAACCAGGAAAAGCCCCAAATTCAACCCCTAACACCAGGCACAGAAGATAAAGTTAACATGCAATAAAGGACAAGCATTTGCTATGCGGTGGCTTTTAGGCCTAGACCATATTTCTTGACTACAGGAATGATACTGTCTTTGAATTTTGCACAAACACTTTGGACAGCTCCTGACGCATAGGAGGCTCTCACAATTAGTTTTTAGGATAAATTGGTTTGCACTTTGACTGGGCAGATGGTTGAGCAGCTACAGGCATTTGCATTCAAGCCTGGTGACCTGAAGGAGAACATGGTTTATCAAGGAGATGGTGACCCAGGTCTACGTGGTCAAGGGGGAGAACTGACTCCCACAGATTGCCCTCTGACCTCTTCATGTCCACTGAGGCATCTGTCTCTCCACCCACAAGGATAGGTAAAGCCGAAAAGTTCGGGGATCAGTAATGCTTTAGTTGTCTGCAAGACTTTATTTCATACTCCTAAAGTAATTATGTAATGTAGCATAAAAGATGGTTAGATTCTTGCACTGGTGAGAAGTCTCCGTGAGTTAAAGTGTTTACTGCCAAGCTGGTGACTTGAGTGCAATTCCCAGAACTCACTTGGTAGAAGGAGGGCCCTGATTCTACAATTTGCCCTCTGGCCTCTAAATATGTCTTATGGCCTGTGTAGTCTACGTATACACACACACAAGCACAGAATAAATAAAATATTTTTAAAAGGTGTGTTAGTTCTATGCTAAATGTGTGGACACTCATAAAAATCTATGTTTTCAATGGTAATATTCAATTATTCCTTTATTCTTGCAACAGTCACAGAACCCTCAGCATGCGATATGGTACTCTGAGTTAAGAGGTGAGATTTCATCTCTCTTGGAGACAAAACTCTAATAGGATAATCCAAACAACTAACGAATGCAAATATCAGTTAGTAATAAGAACCAGAACATTCAACGAGGCAGGCGTCAGAACTCTGCAAGGTTTGTAGAAGGTGATTTTATGGGGTATTTGTGAGTTCTTGCCACGCCTTGGCATTGAACATGCGCTGTAATACAGCACATTACATTCTCCCCTCGGCCACCAGCACACGAAACAGACAGAGACGTGTCTGCACTATCAGGTGGAACGTAAAATCGCGACAGACACCCACAGTGCTAGAGACGCCCTGAAGACCTCATTTTTAGCACGCTTTACATAACAACCATGCTAAGAGAGGGACATCCAGCTGATATTTTAGTGCTTTTGTTATTTTTACTATTTTACTTCGAAAATGAATAAACAATTTATTCTTAAGTGTTTCCTATTAGGCAGTCAGTGCACTCCGTGTCGCTAAGCAGTTTGTGGCTATCTGGGGGCAGGAGTGCTGTAGACTGAGTATCTGCCTGGAGCAGCTTTGGTCATCCAGAGGATGCATTCTGAACCACCTACTAATGTCTCCTCTAGGATGCCTTTGCCTGGTCATTGGGGATTTCCTTGTCTCTGAGGAACCACATCAGAGCATCATGGAAGTGTCCTTAGGGTCCCCAAGCACTGTCACCCAGGTGACTCTTTCCTCACCCTGGAGGAGAAGAAAGCAGTCATGAGGTGACAGAATTTTCCCATTTGTTGGACAGGCAAGAAGACCATGAAGGAGAGTTTTCTACCCATGTCTCAAATCCACACATCAAACTCTCGTGGAAACAAGAGACTGATAAGGTTTCAGGTAAGCTTTGTGCAAGCTAGCGCTGAATCTCCTCCTGCTCAAGGACTCACTGTAATGGATGTTACATTCCCTGTCTAGAGAGCTTGGCTCTGGTTTTGCTGCCCTGGAAAAGAATGGAAAGGGTGGACTGCAAAGTGAACAGAGAAGGAGGGCTGATACAAGATGGTTAAACCCCAGACCGCATCTCCTGCTGTGGGGCCCTCTGCCCTCCATTCTGTCCTCTGCTTACTTTTGCTGGATGTAGAACAGATCTTAAGACTTTTCTCAGAATAGGTGGGGACAGTGGGGGCCTTGATCTCCTTCCTGTTGGACTGGGTTCAGTATAGACTTGTTTGGCGGCAATCTCTGAGAATCACCTGAAAACTCACCATATAAGCGCTGAGCAAGGTCGATGACCTCCTGAATCCTTTCTTCTTGCTGAGGCACTGAAGGAGCAATGAACTTGTTGAACTGCCTGTGGAGGATCTCCACAGCTTCCTTTGTTTGGCACTCCATGAAATACTTCCCAACTCTTACAACTGTGGCGCTTGCGTCTTCATACCAAAAGTTACACTGTATTCAAATGGAAGAAATCACAGGTTAAAGAGATGTGTCCTTCTTAAGTTCTTCACGTTGACCACTGACGTTTCACATTTTGCTTACCTCAAACTTGTCCAGGTAGCCTTAAACTTCCCAAGTCTTACTAAAGAAAACATCAGCACATGGTCATATACCTTTTCACTTAGACGCCCAATGGATTAGTTTGATAGAAAATGTCCCCCAAAGGACTGGCTCTACTAGGATGTGTGGCTTTGCTGAAATAGGTGTGGTCTTGCTGAAAGAAGTGTGTCACTGTGGAGGTGGGCTTTTAGGTCTCTTTTGCTCAAGCTTCCCTCACGTGAAATGGAGACTACTTCCTGCTGCCTACAAGATGTAGGACTCTCAGCGAGTTCTCTAGCACCATGTCTTTCTGCACACTGCCATGTTCCATCATGATGACAATAAACTGAACCTCTGAAGCTGTGAGTGAGTCACCCTAATTAAATGTTTTCTTTATAAGAGTTGACATGGTCGTGGTGTCTCTTCACAGCAATGGAAACCCAACTAAGACACCCAAGGCAAATATTTTAAAAGTATAATAAAGAAATATACACAATAATTAGAAAGCAGAAGTATGGAAATAGCTTTGATTCTCCTGCCTTCTTAGATTTGTCTAAAATATAATGCCTAAGACAATGTTGGATAAGTTTTAAGAGCAATCAGCAAAAGCATTTGGGTACTGAAAGGTTTATAAACATTGGTTGGATAATATTCAAAATCCAGTATAATCAACAACCAAACACTGCTAATAAGCCCATAAGTAAATTTTTTTCTTAGTAATATATTCATGATCAAATTTCCTATAAGAATAAAATTTAGAGCATGGATCCAGGAAACACCATCCGAAGAAAAATATTCTACCTTTGTGAAATAGAACTGGTCATTACTTCAAAGCACAGTTGAGGTATGAAGTAATTTTTCACTAAAAAAAGTAACTGTGACAGGAGGAATTGTCCGCCCCAGGCCAGAGGCATTTGTGCTGGGTAATAAATAAATAATAATAATAAATAAAAATAAATAAATAAAGTAAAATAGGACTCCGTGTTAAGCCAGTTAAGACAGTAACAAGAAGCTTCAGCAAACCTGTACATCATGTATCAAAGAAAAATCAGCTGCCTCGTAATGTGGTGTTCAGTCCAAACACTCAACTGTATTAGCAGGACAGATAGAAAGTTTGTATTTCGGACTAAGAGGGAACAAAGAAAGCTTAAAACCCTCAGGTGTGGCCTCTCTGATCTGAAGTAAGAGTCAATGTATTGACCTTGTCAAACGTCGTGAATTTTAGGTGGACCTACTACTACTACTACTACTACTACGCCCTCGGCAGTAACCAAGGTTACACCCAGGAAGGCAGCACCTGAGATTTTCCCCCATCAGCTTTTCTGACGTATCATCAATGTCATGAAGTAAACAGACCACTTAAACATTGAAAATAATTTCCAGCAGTGACTGCAATATCAGTGGTTGGAGTTTGAGGTAAGGTTACAAAGAAATGGAAACTCTTGCAGTAATGCGGGAAGTAAATGGATCGAAGCTTTTGGAAGAGCCACTGTATAAAGCAGAAAAACAAAATCCCCGTAGCTGCATTCATTCCCTTTGACCTGGCGATTCAACTTTAGGGAATGACCCTGCAAGCAATAGTGAAGAGTAGCAGGACCAAGGCTTTCGTGGCAGCAGTAACTAATACAGCATTAGAGAGATGGCTCGGTGGTTAAGAGCACTGGCTGCCTTCCCAAAGGATCTGAGTTCAATCCCCAGCACCCACACAACAGCTCAAAACTGGCTGTAACTCCAGTCCCAGAGGGATCTGATACCCCCTGCTGGTCTCCACGGGTACTGCATATATACCCTGCAGAGACATACATGCAGACAAAACGCTCATGCATAAAATAAAAATAAAGATTAAATTTTTTAAAAATAGCATTTTTAGAAGAAATAGGATCTTTTTTTCTTTTGAGACAGTGTCTACTATGGTGCCTAAACTGTATTTGAACTTGCAATCTCCCAGTTCTGCCTCCAACTACTGGGACTAACTACACTGGGCGGTGGTGGTGCATGTCTTTAATCAATTCAAAAACTCAGGAGGCAGAGACAAGCAGATCTCTGTGAGTTCGAGGCCAGCCTGCTGTACAGAGCAAGTTCCAGGGCAGGCACTAAAGCTACACAGAGAAACCCTGTCTTCAAGAAGAGTTCTTTACTATGCTCAAGACAAAATATATTTTGAAGTAACATTACAGGAAGAATATAATCCCAACGAGAAGATACCTCTTCTAGTATTTCCTGGAGATGTTCATTCAGGTCCAAATTCACCCTGTAATCGGTCACAACTTTATCAAAGTCATCCACATGCTTTTGCAAATCCTCCATGGCTTCCCAAAGGATGTTAACTTTATTACTTGGATAACTTAAGAATGAGTCAGAAGTTTTATTATTAACTTTTTCCATTTTCTTCCTTAAAGCCTGTGGGCAGGGGGGAGGAGTAAAAAGGGGTTTTTAAAAGGCAATTATATTCTTACTTATGATGCTAGCGGTAAAACAGAGTAACTCAGAATCCTGCTGCTTCTACCATTCTGAAATATTAAGATTATAATTATTGCAAATGTACCTTGGAAAGAATAGTCTTTCTCTAAGATATTTTATTCAATCTATTCAATCAGTATTGGCAAATAAGCAGAAAACCTAGAAATAATATAAGGTATGTATGTAATTATCAGGAGCTCTGAAATCTGTGCTGGGCATTCGGGATGTGTGTGAGAGCAGTAAAGAAAAAAGGCAGAGGGCACACATGGCACACGGGGCACACGTATGGAGATGTGCTGGGGAAGCATGGAAATGCACAGGCCTTGTGCGTCTGGCAGAAACTGGTCCAGTCTGCCTCAGCACATACATCTCAACACACATCACTGGTGTGAGGTTGCAGGGATGGGACCAGAAGCTCTGCTGTTCCTGCTGGTGACGTACCGATGATAGTGATAGCCAAGAGCAAGGGTCCCGGATGATTCCAGAATAAACTATGAGTATCTGTAGAGATGGCTCTAGTCTGGTTTAAATAGTATTGCACATTCTCCTGGACTGAAACAAAACCTGGTAACCCAAGGTATGCACATTTCTCCTGTCTCCATGTGTCAGTTAGAAATGACTTGAAATTTAAAAAATGAATAAGCTAGAAAGCTCACAGAATGAAGGTGAGCTCGGTTTCAGACAACGAACGTTGTTTCCTGGGAAGAATGCGGCCATAAATTACTCAAGGAGATCTTTCTTGTAAGTTGGCCCACTTAAAATCAGCATCACACGACTGCATGCCAAGCAAATAGCTAAAACATTTCCAGGAAAACCAACTCTGGATTACAGAGAATAAAGTTATTATTTTTAAAGGGAAAATGAGATAAATCAAATACTATTTATTCCATTCAAAAAGTCAAATTATTATAAAAATAGAAAACCACCCTTTCCATCTCAATTCTGTTATAGTTATGCCTAAACTGTAACAATTTTGTACTAATTGTAATAATGATACACACGCACACACACATGCACACACACTCATACACTACTTTATTACCTGAATTTTTTCAGCATACATGTCAACTTGTTGGATTTGATACTGAAGAGTCTTTAGGTTTCGAGATTTTTCATTTTTTTTGGAGTAGCTAAACTTCAGATTGTTGAATTTCTTTTTTATATCTTTGAATGACTCTTTGAGCTACAGTTTAATAAAAAATAAAATTATAATTTCTTTACAACTAGAAAGACAATACTCATTATTATGAACAAAACTAAACAGCCCCAAACAGTCATCCCCTTAAAGTGTCTTCAGAATACTTTCAGTCAAAACTGGATTTCCTATGTGGACTCTTATCCTTTGATGAGAGTACTTTCTGACATATGATCTTAAACTCAGTATGGTCACATTGGTTGCCAAACAAGAAAATAGCCAACATTTTGAACATAAACTTTTGCTAACTCAAACTGTCTTATTTGTATTTATTTGACACAAAGTTTGACGCTCTTTCCATTTCTTGTATGCTAGTTTCGTTCCAGATCTTTCCATATCCTGGTAGTCTCTCTCAGTCATTATGTATGAAAATTATTAAGGCTCCAAGGAGCTATTCATGATGAAGAGGTCAATGAGGGCTTGACTTTGAGAATTGCTAGTACAGTCTATGAGATTAGTGAGAAAGGAGATTTACTTGCCCAGCTAAAGTTATTTCCATAAGCAAATTTTAGATGAGTTTTACTTCTTATATGTATAACTTTAACTTTGAAAATACAAGTAAGCACCCAAGGTGAGTGTCATTGCCACCAAGGGCAATGTTGACTATGTATAGATAGGACATATTACGATGGTCCGACAATCTGTCTTTATCAATGCACTAAGATTCTAAGCAACCTGGCACTTCTAAATATTCTGTTTTCTCTTGCTTCTACATATTCATGAAGGCTAAGTGTACTTCCAGGCAACTCACACTTCATATTATCAGCAAAGGGAAGCACAAAGAAAACATAAAAGCTAAGATTATATGGGAACTTTTACAACAAGAAAGAATCATGTCATGGTTGATAAATCTGAGTGATGGAAAAGAAAAGTTAGAAATACATTAAAAGTCTTCTCAAAGATAGCAAACAAATTACCCGAGAATACATAAAAGCCGTGCACATGTTACATCTTAGATTCATAATATAGAAAAATACATCTGCCCTAGAAAATGTATGCTTCCTCAAAACGCTTTCTCCAGATTTTCCATATTGTAGAAATAAAACAATGACTTTATCCTTAACTCTTCTTGAGGCTCTCCAAGACCCTGGCAGACCTGATTATGTATAAATTATTATACTTATACTTTTTTGCATAGGACATACTGATACTCAACCAGTATCTATTTTTACATAAAAAAATGACATTGCTGAGTATTAGTTTTAAGCTACAGACAAAACCAAGAACAGTGACCATAAAACCACTTTAACAGATAAACCAACAGTGTCCAGAAAGGGTCGGAAGAGCTGTAACTTCAGATTTTGAAAATGACTTCTTTATCAGGAGACCACAAAATATTAAAATACCCTATTAAGCAGGTATACTTATGAAATATCCATTAAATATTTATATTTTGTGACATTTGATAATTTAATGCATATGTGTTAATTCTAGCAGGAAGGGATGGATGAGTATATTTTATGATACTGTAATATAAAGGGACTATACGCTGAGTTATTAATAGAAAACTGAGGTAGGTTCTTTTTGTATCCCTAAATTGCAATCTGCAACTATAAATTAATAAATGCCCTCTCTGAGGCAGCCAGAGATTATTATTTAAAAGCTCCTTCCAGGGGAGGCGCCCGCGCCGGCAGACGGAGCTGGGAGGCGCCCGCGCCGGCAGACGGAGCTGGGAGGCGCCCGCGCCGGCAGACGGAGCTGGGAGGCGCCCGCGCCGGCAGACGGAGCTGGGAGGCGCCCGCGCCGGCAGACGGAGCTGGGAGGCGCCCGCGCCGGCAGACGGAGCTGGGAGGCGCCCGCGCCGGCAGACGGAGCTGGGAGGCGCCCGCGCCGGCAGACGGAGCTGGGAGGCGCCCGCGCCGGCAGACGGAGCTGGGAGGCGCCCGCGCCGGCAGACGGAGCTGGGAGGCGCCCGCGCCGGCAGACGGAGCTGGGAGGCGCCCGCGCCGGCAGACGGAGCTGGGAGGCGCCCGCGCCGGCAGACGGAGCTGGGAGGCGCCCGCGCCGGCAGACGGAGCTGGGAGGCGCCCGCGCCGGCAGACGGAGCTGGGAGGCGCCCGCGCCGGCAGACGGAGCTGGGAGGCGCCCGCGCCGGCAGACGGAGCTGGGAGGCGCCCGCGCCGGCAGACGGAGCTGGGAGGCGCCCGCGCCGGCAGACGGAGCTGGGAGGCGCCCGCGCCGGCAGACGGAGCTGGGAGGCGCCCGCGCCGGCAGACGGAGCTGGGAGGCGCCCGCGCCGGCAGACGGAGCTGGGAGGCGCCCGCGCCGGCAGACGGAGCTGGGAGGCGCCCGCGCCGGCAGACGGAGCTGGGAGGCGCCCGCGCCGGCAGACGGAGCTGGGAGGCGCCCGCGCCGGCAGACGG